CTCTTACTTTTTTTTTTTGTGATGGCCAATGTGGAAATCTGTTTTGCTTGACTATATGTGTTTGTAACAGGGGTTTTATTTTTCTTGTTTTCTCAATGCAGGGCAGGGTTAGAGTGGGCAGGAAGGAAGTTTGGTGGAAGGGAAAGGTGGTTTGAAAATAAAATTTAATTTTAAAAAGAACAAATTGAATAAATGGAGAGCTAAGGGTATGAAATGTTGCAAATGCTATCAGGCATAATTATTTGGGTGATTAATTTGTTTAACCAATTTCCCTTGTTGCAAGAAGAGAGTTCACAGGAAGTGGGATATCCTGGGAAATGATTATGATTAAAAAAAAAAGAAAAAGAAATGCATAAAACTTTAAAAATAAATATAGATGGGCCTATTATCAATGTACAATTTTATTCCTTAGAGAAAATTTGTATTCTACCACCAAATGAGCAGACATATATATTTTTATTTGTCACTCTCTTATTCATCATTACTCAGGGAGTCATACTCCTCTTTCACCTGAAGTGACTGTCATAAAAATAAAATTTTATTTTGATAAGAAGCACAACAAAAACAGGCAAGAATAGGAAGAGAGCAAGATCAGAGTTCATTGTAAGAGACAAAAATAATAAGAAAATTTCAGTGACCAAATTATTACTTATTTTTGTAAATATTAGGAGCCATCAGAAAATATATCTGAACATCTGATTATTAGCTGTTTTGTGAGGAATTTAGAGACTGTTATTGGTTTGTGTTTCAAAGGGTAATATCTGACTGAAAGGATATCATTAGAGATTGTTTCAAATTTTACCATGCTCTCTCAGAACCTACAAACAAGTCCCACTGGTGTTAATTCCATTATAAGGAAAACATAATCTCAAATACTGTGTTTTTAAAATGCAGTCATAAAAGATATCTCTCTTTATAGATTTAAGTAAAAAACAGCAGAAATGTTTTTCAAAAGATTTTTAATTGAGAGAAGGTATGGGGGTGATGCATAAAGGGCCCAGCTAGGAGAAACAAAACTAGCACAAAGCTATGAAAGCCTTGACTGTTGCCAACATCCCAAAGAATTTTATGGGTTTTTTTATTTTTTAAGGCAATTGGGGTTAAATGACTTGCCCAGGGTCACACAGCTAGTAACTGTCAAGTGTCTGGTCTGAGACAGGATTAGAACTCAGGTCTTCCTGATGTCAGGGCCAGTGCTCTATTCACTGTACCAACTAACTGCCCCAAGAAACAATTTTATGAAAGAAGGGAGTGCTTCCCGCCCTATTATAGTTCCCTCCTCATTCATCCTATCCTTTATCTGGCTGCTACCTCCCCCACCACCAAAGTCTTGCTGTCTATCAGCTCCCCTTTTCCCAGGCACCTTTCCACCATGTTAGGGTAAAGCAGACTGCACCACTTAGGACAAATAGCTTCTGGCAGGGGGGACCCAAATCGCTTAAGACACCCAGGATCTGTAACAAAAGGAACATGTCTCACAATCACACTAGCTGCTACTGTCCTACTTCTTCCTCCCTCCCAACTCCCTCAGCACTAGGCCTTATCAATCATTGTCTTCTTCTGTTCTCTATTTCCATGGTGCCCTTTGGACTTCTCTCTATGGGTCAGTAAAAAGCTGACTGTGTTGAGAGTTAGATGACCTAAAATTCCCTCTTCTTCAACCATAATCTGCTATCCTTCAATCTCTTCTGCTTCATTACTCTTAAACTCATTCTTGGATCTTAAGATCACTTCAGATCCTTACATCCATCATTGTACACCCAGGCCATCATCCCTACTCTGGATCCACCATCTTTTCACCATCTTGACACCAGAGATAACAACTTCAACTATATACTGTCTCTTGCTCTTACCCTCTTGCCAGTCACATCTCCCAAATTTCCATTCAGGGTCACCCTGACTTAGCTCCTTTTTCTACTCTTACTCCCATGTTGATGAATGCTGCAAAAGCAAGTACCACAACTGGGATGATGGGTCCACGACAAATTCATGTTATCTAAGTTTAAGTAGACCTTTACAGAAATACGGCAATGCTTTTAGTAGGTCCTGATTGATTTGTTATCATGCTCCGCACAGCATATGTTCCAAATCTTTTTCTTTCTCTTCAACTGCCATATACTTTCCTTCTCTTTGGCCGATGATTTTGCTTCCTAGTTTATGGGGAAAATTATGTTTTTAAATGTTTGCATGTCACCATCTCGCAAGATCATCCATTATTACTTTCTCCTCTTCCCAACTCTATACCCCAAAACCTTTTTGCAACTTCATGTAGCTAGTTTTCTCCTAGACAAGTTCAACTTCACTTGTGTGCCTGAGGTACCTGAGGGAACATGAGGGTCTCAGGACCACCAGAAGAGGGGAAGTAAATACATGCTCCATGTGTGGGACATTTTCAGCCAGGCTGCTGTGGACCAAATCACCAGTTGTGCACTCAATCAAACTCCCAAACTAATCTTTCTTCTTCCCTGGTGAATGAGAATAAGCAAAGTAACAGATTGTCAATAAGCAAAGTAGCAGACTGTCATCAGAGAGCTGTAGTGTGTGGGAGCCCAGTCAAAGGGTTCTTCCCCTTCTTATAATGCCTACCTTCCACCCTCCTAAACCCTGTGATTCAGAGTTGTTAGCTATGTAAAAAAACCCTTGACTCCTGCTAACTTGTTGGTTTCTCATCTTTATCCACTCTGGACCTATGCTTCCAAAGTCTCCAGTTCTTCCAGCTCTCCCAAGTTCTCTGACTTCCTTTCCATTTTGCCCTTTGGAACCTCATCACTGATAATCTGCAGCTTCACTTGACCTTAGTATTGCACAGATATGGTCATACTCTTAACCTCACATCCCCCCATGATCATCTTCATGATCAAGACTGAATTTCTCTCTTGGATCATAAGCTCCTTCCACTTCTAAATCTTCCTAATCCTCACCATTACTTTCACTCACTCCACCCCTCTCTTCTTTTTTTTTAAAATTTGAATTTATTTATTTTTAGTTTTCAACATTCACTTCCATAAGATTTTGAATTTTAAATTTTCTCCACCCCCCACCTCAAGACAGCATACAATCTGATATAAGTTCTACATATGCATTAATGTTAAGCATATTTTCCCATTAGTCATGATATAAAGAACAATTAGAACTAATGGGAGGAACCACGAGAATGACAACAACAAAGGAAAAGGATAATATGCTTCCATCTGCATTCATACTCTGTATTTCTTTCTCTGGGTGTGGACAGCATTTTCCATCATGAGTCTTTTGGAGTTGTCTTAGATTCTTGCATTGCTGTGAAGAGCCAAGTCTATCAAAGGCAGTCATCTCATGTTGTCGCTGTTACTCTGTACAATGTTCTCCTGGTTCTGCTCATTTCACTCTGCATCAGTTCATGTAAGTCTTACCAAGTTTTTTTGAATTCTGCCTGCTCATCATTTCTGATAGCATAATAGTATTCCATTACATTCATATACCTCAACTTGTTCAGCCATTCTCCAATTAATGGGCATCCCCTCAATTTCCAATTCTTTGCCACTACAAAAAGAGCTGCTATCAATATTTTTGTACATGTGGGTCCTTTTCCCATTTTTACAATCTCTTTGGGATACAGACCAAAAAGCGGTATTGCTGGGTCAATACCCCTTTCTTCTTTCCCAGGATATCAACCTTGCTTTGCCTTCTTTCCCACCTTTAAAAATTTGACCCTAGGCAGCTAGGTGGCAGTAGATAGAGCACTGGCCCTGAAGTCAGGAGGACTTGAGTTCAAATCCAGCCTTAGGCCACACACTTGACACTAGCTTGTGTGATCCTGGGCAAGTCACTTAACCCCAACTGTCAAAAAAAAATTGATCCTATGGTAAACCAGTTCAAGTATGCCTTGTCTTCTAATTTTGATTTCCTTACCATCTTGTCCTATTGCTAACAGTTCCTTAAAAACCCAAACCCCAAGCTCTCTACTCTTACCTGTGTGTTGGCAGAAGAATTCATACAACTATGCTCAATGTGTCCACTATAAATTTATCTAGTCTTAACTGCATCTTCATTGCTGCAAGACAATACTTTAATTCACCTCCATCACATTCTCCATAAAGGCTATTCCAAATCTTTTCTCATGAAGTATATTATGCTTTTGCTACTCCAACTCCCATCTGAGCAGATCTTTGTTTAATGTCTTTATTGTGCCCCCAAGTAGAATATCTGCTTTTATCTTTCTGTCCCCAGTGCCTAAAGGCATATAGAAAACACTAAATGGAAGAGAGCAGTTAGAACTTTTTAAATTACAATGTTAACATCTTTTCATTGATGTTATTTATTTTTATGTAATTTTGTTTCTGAAATATATCCCTTAACCACCACCCATAACCCAGAGTTAAGCAGGGCAGCTAGGTAGTAGATAGGGCACCAGCTCTGGAGTCAGGAGGACCTGAGCTCAAATCTGGCCTCAGACACATAACACTCACTAGCTGTGTGACTCTGGGCAAGTCACTTAACCCCAATTGCTTTGATGCAATTTAGGGGTTCAGGGGTGCTGGGATCCCAACATCACCACACGTGAGTTCTGCCCGAAAGAATTCGACCCAAGCCTTCTTTCAGCCAAAGACAAGGTTTATTAGAACATCCGTCATATTGGGCAGACTCTTAAGGAATCTGAACATTAGTAAGCTATTGGCTAGATTATAAGAATCTGAACAGTGGCTAGATTTCAAGAATCTAAGCAGTGGCTAGAATATAAGAATCTCAGCATCTTAATGGAGACAAGATGGACCTTATTTACAGAAAGACTATGGGAGGGATCTAGGAGTGGCCAAGTAGTCTGCAGGGACTGTGAGGTAACAGAATGCTGGGGACCAAGGGAGAATGGAGCCTAGATAGGATTAATGGTGGGAAGTGGCAGGGGGCCATAGGGAGGTAAAACAATGGAGGGCTAGGCTAGGTTAAGGGTAACAGAGAATTGGAGACAGGGTATAGCCACAATGAAAGGCCAATTGATGGGATTATGGCCTCAGGTGAACGCCATGTGGGAAAGTCCAAGGTTTTTCCTTTTTAGGGTCCAGATACAATCCTCATCAATGATAGCTAACATTCACATAGTACTTTGTGCCAGGCTTTCCAATTATTGTCCCATTTGATTCTCACAGCAACCTTGGAGTGTAGATATATTATCCTCATTTTACAGATGAGGACACTAAGGAAAACACATGTTAAGTGATTTGCTATAAGTAACATGGCTAGCACATCTTTCTCTTCTGCCTATCCTCCTCTCCATAATGACTTCCTAAGCTTCATTTTCCCCTCCATCTGTGCCCCTTGGACCTTGTAAATATAATGTTTAGTTTTGTTTTGTGATATAATTGGCCCTCTCTCATGAACCAAAGATGGATCAGGGCTGCCTATTGATGCTTACATGCCCTTGGAAAAGTGGATGTTCCCAATAGCAATCAACTCTGATTGATTAACAATTAATGAGAAGAATATTATAATAAGAGTGTACCTATTCTAATGAGGGTCTAGGGACAGGACCTTGAATATGTCACTTACTTCCAGACCACCTGAACCTTGGGCAATCTAGACAAAGGATCCATCCACCTACCCACCCAAATCTGAGTAGAACACACCCAGAATAAATTGTTTTTACTCTTTAATCAGAACTAATCTTCACTAGTTGGTGGGATCTGAACTAGATTGAGGAGAATGTTAAAATCTAATTCCATCATCAGCCTTATTCTTCAGGAGCTGATTTGACTTAGTTGAGAATGAGGAAACAGAAAAGGAAAAAATCCTGAATCTCTCCAATATTAAGAATTGATTATTAAGAGAGAAATCATCATTTCTTTCTGTTTTACTGCTCTTTCCACTTATTGTTTTAGTCATATATAGTTTCCTTGGTTATACACATTTTGTATCAGTTCATATAAATCTTTTGATGTTTCTCTGAATTCTCCATATTTTTAAAAATTGATTTCATCATCATTTATCTTTATATAACCTTCATTCCTGAATGTATACCTCTCTTCATTAGGCTGTTACCTGTAACAGAACAAAAATGGGGGGGGGGGGAGGAGCAGTTCAGTAAAACTAATCAGCACATCAAATGAATGACAGCTTCTGTAATGTTTTCTACCCATAACTCCCCACCTCTTCAAGGAATGGAAAAGGGAATTTCTCATCTTTTAGAGAGGACAAACATGGTCATTATAATCATTCAGCTTTGAGTTTTGGGTTGTTTATTCAATTACTTACATTGTTGTAGTCATTGTGTTTTGTTCCTAGTTCTACTTACTTCACTATACCCATTCATGTCTCTCATCCTCTAAATTTTTCTTATTTGTTACTTATGACAGATTAATATTCCATTCATGTATGAAATTACTTAACCATTTGCTAATCAATTTTGAATATTTTTGTATATGTGGGACTTTTCTTTCTATCTTTTATTACCCTGGGCCTTGTTGTAAGGTGTCTGAATTGAGGATAGTTTCTAATAGATATGAGGTTAGAGCTCAGAACTTTACCCTTAACATTTCAGAGTCCTTTCTATTATGCTCCTTTCAGAGGCAGCTGGTTTTACAGTGGATAAAGGGCTAGGCCTGCAGTTAGGAAGACCTGAGTTCAAAATTGTTCTCAGACATCTACAAGTTGTGTGACATAGGGCAAGTCACTTAAATCTGTATTTGCCTCAGTTTCCTGAATTATAAAATTAGAATCACAATAACACTTACCTCATGAGGTAGATGTAAGGATCATATTGAGTTGGTGCTGGTAACAAGTGCCTAGCATAGTGCCTATGAGCTGTGATAACCAACTTCCTTGATTTCCTATCTACATGCTTATAACACATTTTTCAGTATGGCAGAAATCTGCTGAACCTGACTGTTATGTGCTTTAGCAACAATGAAAATGTTCTCTTTATCAGACAACATATTATGAATCAAATGTTTTTCTAGAACAAAAAAGAAAGAGAATGGAAAATAATGGCAAGAAGAATAAACTAATACAAATTTGAGATTGAGTTGAGATTATTTTGGGATTGTACCTGATGCAGTTTTGGAGGAGTTTGGGGGTCCTGGGACCCCAAAATCACAACATGTGGGTGCTGCCTGAAAAAAATTTCAACCCAAGCCTTCTTTCAGCCAAAGGCAAGGTTTATTAGAACATCTGCCATATTAGGCAGACTCTTAAGGAATCTGAACATTAGCAAGCTATTGGCTAGATTATAAGAATCCTAGCAGTTAATGGAGACAAGATAGACCTTATATACAGAAAGCCTGTGGGAGAGATCTAGGAGTGGCCAAGTAGTTGGGGGTGATGGGAGGAGGGGCCTAAGGAGATCTGGATGGGAGGGGAAATGGCCAGGGGCCATGGGGAGATAACACAATGGAGGGGAGATTGGATGTAGCCATAATGAAAGGCCAGTTGATGGGATTATAGCCTCAGGCTAATGCCAGAGATTTGGCCTGGTGTGAAAGTCCAGGGTTTTTCCTTTTTGGGGCCCAGATCCCAACCCCATCATACCCACTTCCAAATCATCAAGATTTTTTCCCAGATTTTTTTCCCCTCTGGGACTAGGTAACCTTCCTTGCCTGTCTTGCTCTGAGAAAGATGGAGTCTCCTTTGCTGCCATAGGAGACCACTGTGGTATTTGGAAAGAGAGTCAAAGAAGAACAATGGGACAAAACTTGGTTTCAGATCCCAGAGGCCAATTCGATAATCCAGTACTTTGGTGAACCCATGATTAATTCAGTGTGGGCGTTTCCTACTGATGCAGACCTGTTCCTCATTGTCAAGTGCAAGAGACTATGCCAGAGGTGAAATCAAAATTCCTTTAGGGATCTCTACATTCTTGTTCACACTCTGATTTCTTCTTAAGATGGAAATGCCTCAGGGGAAAGGGCTTGGATTCTCTTTTGTTGTTGTTGAGGAAAGAGTTAGACCTGAAATTTCATATATATTAGGACCTTTCCATGAAGAAATTGTCTCAATCAGATTGGACCAGTCACTCAACTAATAATACTAAGGAGTTACCTGAGACACTTAGAGGTTAAGTAATTTGCCCAGGGTTACACAGCCAATATGTGTCAGAAGAATGACTCGAACCTAGGTCTTTCTTACAGCAAGTCCAGCCACAGCATGCTGCCTTCATAGTTAAGTAAATACTTAAGCAATGTTAACTAACATTAGAACAAAATTCTCTATCTATGTCAGTTACAAAGATAAAACTACAATGTCTACATTTTTTTTGACTAATTACATAATCATATATACTTAGTAGAAGTAAAAGAAACTTTGAAGATCTAGACCAATGCTTTAATTTTACAGATGAAGACACTAAAGATCAAAAAGACTGACTTTTTCAAGGTTATAAGTGGAGTGGTAGAGATCAAAACAAAACAGAACAACTTGAATCCAGGTCTTCTGACTCCAAGTCCAATGTTGACTGGCTCCCAAACAGTCACACCCCTTTACAATGTGTTGCTTATATTTTATATTTACAAGGTCCAAGGGGCACAGATAGAGGGGAAAATGAAGCTTAGCAAGTCATTATGGAGAGGAGGATAGGCAGAAGAGGAAGATAGATGAACAGTTTCATTAGGTCCTTGGGTATAAGACTTAATTCCTCTTGTATTAACTATGTTTGTGACCAGTGTCTTTTACCATATTCATCTTTCACTTTCCCCTTTGTTTTCCTCATTGTCTATAATTGCCAGTTCCCAAGAAACACAATGCATTTTTCATGAACTGGTCCTAAGTGGTCTGCCTCAGGTCTGTTTATTGTATGTACTGCCTATCACTCTTGGGCTTGTGCGAATGCTAGAGAATTATATTCTAATTCACTATGTATTTTCTTCAGATTTAAAAAAAACTGTATATCGAATCTTAAAAGTGCTACATGCCTGCCAGTCTCTTCCTATTGCACAAATCCAATGCTTCATAGTAACGTGGCATAGTATACACTTGATGGGGTGTGGCCTAAGCTGAGGTCTTCAGCCTCTTGCCCCAAAGGGAATCTGACTCCCATTTGTCTACAGACCCAAACCCCTCATCTCACTTTGAAAGCCTTTGCCTTTAGCCTTAAAAAGAATCTGGCTCCCATTTTAGGTTCCTTATCTACTCCACTTATCTCCCTTTGAAAGCCCTAGCCCCATCTTTTCAATCTCATTCAGATGCCTTCTAGTTCCCTTCATTATATATTCTCAGACCTTCCAATTAGAATTCTTACCTAGACCCTTTCCCCAGCCCCCTCCTCTGGCCACCCAAAGTCACTTTAGTATATAAGATCTACCCTGGCCCCCATTCAGATGTTGAGAACCTCATGCCCAAAAGGCTTAGACTTTCTCAAGCCCGCTAGTCCTTAAGGTCCTCACCTGACCTAAGTGTTTTATCACTAATAAACTTTTCCTCTGTCTGGAAGATTTGAGTTGAATTCTTTCCGGCAGGGCCTGGCGTTGAGATCTTGGGGTTCCCAGCACCCTAAAACCTCTAGACCTCTTCACATTCACACGTTTAAATGTGGAAAAATTCTTATAAAAAAAAGTGAGTGTTGGTACCAGTACTTCCTTAAAGAGAAGGTTTAGGAACTGATATGCTTAGTGTAGGGATTGATACGTTGCCAGAAGATACACATTCAGCTATGTAAATGATATACTTGTGTCTTGAATATCTATATTTCATTTTGCTATAAAATTTTTTTTTCAGCAAGATTACATCACTTATTCCTTGTGGTGTAAGTGAATAACATGTGTCAGGAAAGTACATCAGTGTGGGGAGGGGGGAAATGGGGGGGGAAGAAGACCATCTAAAAGGGACCAGAAATCTTTATGATAGACAAGCCATGAAAGAGACCATTAGGGGCCTCTATTCCTTCAAACAATATAGTGCTATTACTACAAATACTTCTATAGTTCAGTCCATTGGGTAGAGACTGTGCCTAAATTTTATACCCTGTGCAGTAACATGTCCTTAAATGTTAATATCTTTATGCTACTAATTCCAATTATTTTGCTTGAGCCTGTGTTGAGTAGGGCAAGCAACCTGCTTACCCTGGGGACAGGAGTTTTTTCCAGGGCACCAGGACACCAATTAATATGTAACGAGAGGCAATTTTCTAAGTAGGACCCTGCTGTCCTGAAAGAACATATTCCCTTTCCTTTGGGAGCCATACTTCCAGAAAGTAGAGTTTATATAATTTTTAACTCAGCACAAATTGTGATACAGTATCTAGGTGAAAATTTATTATCAAGGATAGCAGTTATTATAAAGAAAAGGATATGGTGTTAAAAGTCCAAAGAAAGCTCTTGATTTCTTCCTTGGCTAATTGTTTTTCTTAACTCTTTTTCCTCATGTTCATTAATAATAATAAAAAAAGTACTAGCATCTGAGATTCCACAGATCCAAAATGGTTTGTGGGAGGGGTTGTTAGAAAAATATCTTGCCCTTCAAAACAACTGTCATATATACACAAAGTGTATTGTCCATTACATTAGATCCATTATATTAGATCCTCTATTAGATTGTAAGCTCCTTGATGGCAGGGGCTGTCTTTGCCTCTTTCTGCCACTTAGCACAGGGCCTGGAAGTAAGTACATAATAAGTGTTTATTGGTTGATTAGCGTGACATTAGGTAAGCACATTCTTATCTCACATGTTTGATATATGATAGGAATGGCCCTTCCTCTTCACTGATATCTACACTCTTGTATACCATTTTCTTGCTGGAAAAAATGTACCAGCCACTTCTCTATGGGAAAAAAAAATCATGTCTTTATTATTGCTATTAATTTTGTTTATTACAACATCTTAATTTTGTGTGATTGTACTTAGTAAGGAATACTTATTATGGCGTTAATAGTATTCTCTATCCCATGGGCTAAAAGTAAGTTCTTATAAACTCATGAAAAAAAGCTATGTGAATAGGTTTGGCAATTGTATTGGTTTTCAATTAGCACTGAACTATGACTGGGGCAAAGCTTGTTGCTAGATTGGTCCCATTCTCATACTCCACGCCTCTCACCTTCACAGTCCATCCCAGACGAGAGTCTCAGAGTTCAGGCGTCTCACATGCAGAAGGAGAGCCTCTAACACTAGGCTCCTGCTTTTGAAGACCCAAATCTCAGATACCAGACCTTTTGTTGTCAGGATTTAATTTACAAGGACTGCTAATGTGTAAGCATACCAACTTTCTTTCAAGTGCTTGTGAAAGTACCATCAACTCCTGCCATTCACAGGATTCATAAAGGCAGAAGTCCCAGTCACAACACATCATATCCCTTTGCTGTGGTTAACTGATTCCTACTTCTCCTGATCCCTGAGGATATAGAATCTCTGCCTGACTAAGCAAGAACCACCCCTTCCCTTGCTATCACTTTCCATTCTGTCACCCTCATCTACTCCTTGTCATACTCCTCCCCCTCCTACCATCCTACTTAGAAGTTTCCCTCTCATTTCATTATGCCCTCTGGAACAGCATTCTATTCTTAACAATTTTTCTTTTATCATAATTAAATTTTTTCCCATTATTCTGAATTTGAAAAACATCACTGGTCCCTCACTCATTGTTATAAAGAGACAGTGTTCAGTAGCAGCGACATTGTGGAATTTAGGTAACATACTTTGGTTTATGATGTCCTGGTTCCATTTATCATGTTTAAGTCTGATCTCTCCATCTACTGAGAACATATATATATATATATATATATATATTAATTGTAATCCATGAATGGGGAATGATCTGGTTTAATGATAAAATCAGTATAGTCAGTCATCTTCATCAATACTTACTGTGTGGTGCTACTTTTCCAGGTTTTCATTTCATGCTCTAGGATTTGGATGCTTAACAAAAAAGTCAGTGGATTAGTAGAAGCCAATCTTGACTACTGGAATAGAGAAAATAAAAGGGATGTATAATACTTGACCAATATTTTTCTGTCTAGCTATTCAAAAGTTACAAGTGTAGAAAACTCCTTTGGTTATAGAAACTATCTTCCTGACAATTTAGGAGAAGTAACATTGATTACATAAAGACATTTGAATACCTTAAGGATATTAACTTTGTTGTTAAGTTGCAAAAGCATTATGATTCTTCTGTATCCTATCTCATCCATCTTTGTTTTACCCACAGATCTTATTGCATGATTCTTTCAGAGAATACTAGAAGGGCTATCATTCATTTTGATCTAAGGGAGGAAATGTCAGAGAGTGTCCCATCTGTTCCATTTGGCTCTGGCCATGTCATTCTCAGGAAGCAGTTTAAAGAAACAGTTGTAACTCAGAAGCATTGTGATTCAATTCTTTTCATAGTAAGAATAATGACGTATTTTGGAAAATTATAACTAGCTTGCCGCATTTATTGTAACTGGAAATAATTGGCGCTTTGGACACAAAGACAACCAAGGGAAAGAACAAAACGATGGTGGTGGAGGGGACCGGACTGAGTACCACTAACTCATTACTTCCAGAAAAACAAAAAAAAAATCCATACATTTGTCTTTATACTCAGTGTACATATGGACAAACATTTAATGTCCAAAAAAAATTACAGCTATGATGTACAAAGGAAAAGTGACAGTGGGTATTCAATCGCCTGAAGAAGATTCCACTCAGGTTTGAATTACTTGAATTGGCAATTCTGACATCCCAAAATACATTGGATGATTTTGCATGTAATTCATATAGTCACTATATATTGTATATTCAAATAGAATTAAGTTGGACTTCCAAATCTCTTGAATTGACACATCTTTAGAATAGATCCACTTTATATGATTTGGGGCAAATTAGTTTTTAAAAACAAATTTTATTGATATCTTTTGTTTTTATATAATTGAGATTTTCCAGTATTTCTCTTCCCTTCCCCCTCCCCAGAAAGCCACCCCATATAACAGAATGTTTTAAGGGAAAAAAAGAAAGAAAAAGAAAAAAAATCTAGCAAAATCAATTAATACATTGAAAAAAGTCTGAAAACATATTCCATATTTCACATCCAAGGACCTCTCACCTCTGCAAAGGAGGTGTCTTCTCATAACTCTTCCTCTGGGCCATGCTTATTCTTTTAATTTTGAAACATTATATTTTTTTCATTGTTTTGTGGTAGTTGTTCTTTCCATTTACATTGTCATGGCAAATCCCTTTCACCACTGTTAACCTGATGCTTTACATAGAAAATCTTAGCAAATCAGTAGCAACAACAACAAAAACTAATTAAGACAATAGCTTTAGCAAAGTTGCAGACAACAAAATAAACCCACAAAAATCAATATCATTTCTATATAATAATAATAATAATATCCAAAAGGTAATAATAGAAAGGAAAATCCCATTCAAAATAACTGCAAATTTGCACAAAATATTTGAGAACCAATTTACCAAAGCACACTTAATACGTTCAAAGATACAATTACAAAATAGTCCTTAAAAAAATACAGGCTAGTCTAAATAGCTGGAAAATATTCAGTGCTCATGACTAGACTTTCCTAATATGATAAAAATGAAAATACTACCAAAGTTAATTTGCAGATTTAATGATATGCTAATCAAACCAGCAAAAATATAGTTCATAGAGCTAGATAAAATAACAACATTATTTTGGAGGAAAAGAGATAGATATCTAAACTCAGAAACATAAATTCCCTAGAAAAGAGCTCTCTATTTGATAAAAACTGCTGGGAAAACTGGAAAGCAATCTGGCAAAAATTAGGCTTAGGCTAACTCCTTACACCATATTTTGGTATAATTAAATTAAAAATGGATATGTAACCTGAATATCAACAATCTTAGCATATAAGAAATTAGAAGTAGATTATATACTTTTCAGAGCTATGGGTAAGAGATGAATTGTTAACCAAAGAAAGGACATAGGTAATTAAAAAGATAAGACAGAAAATTTTGATTATATGAAATTGAAAAGCTTTTGCAGAAACAAAATTAATGCTTCTAGGGTAAGAAAGGAAGTATTCAACTGGGGGAAAATCTTTCCATCAAACATCGCTAGTAAGAGTTTGTAATCCCAGTACACACACATACATATACACACACATATATATGTGAACATTTCTGTGTAGAAATAGATATAGATAAACATACAACCAACAGAAATATTTTAGAACAAAAGTCATTCCCCAAAATATGTGGTCAAAGGATATGATCAAAGCATTCTCAAAACAACAAATGCAAATTAACAGCCATAAAAGGGGCAGCTAGTTGATGCAGTGGACCTGGAGTCAGAGAGGACCTGAGTTCAAATCCAGCCTCAGAAACTTACTAGCTGTGTGACCCTGGGCAAGTCAGCTAACTTGACTGCCTCCAAAAAAAAAAACCACCACAACAAAACATCCCACATAAGAACAAATACTCCAGATCATTAAGCATAAGGGAAATGCATATTAAAACAACTCTGAGGTTTTACCTCATACTCACCTAATTGGCTAAGATAACAAAAAACAAGAATAGCTCATGATGGAGGTGGTATGGAAAGACAGACCTACTAATGCATTGTAGGTGGAGCTGTACATTAGTACACCAATATGGAAAGCAATTTGGGATTATGAAAATAAAGTAAGTAAAATGGCCAAACTCTTTGACAGCTAGATCACTTGGGTACAGGCCTCAGAGAGGTCAGTGACAAAAAGAAAGGCTCTAGACACATCAAAATGTTTATAGCAGCACTTTTTGTGGCAGGAAAAACTGAATATAAAGCAAATTCCCATTGACTGGAGAATGGTTAAACAAATTATAGCACAAGAATATCATGGAATATTAATTACTATGATGTAAGAAATAATGAATATGATGGATACAGAGAAGTGTGTAAAGACTTAAATGAACTAATGCAAACCGAACTAGACTGAGGAAAACAACATACACAATAACATAATGTGAATGGAAAGAATAACCACCACAAAGCAGATGGAGATTTATGTTGTGCAATCTTTTTTTTAAATTTTATTAATTTATTTTGATTTATCAACAATCACTTCCATATGCTTTTTAGTTGAAAATTTTTATCCCCTTTCCTGACTGCCCCTCCCTTTTTCTTTTAAAAACTTTTCAATTTAATGTAATCAAAATTATCCATTCTGCTTTTCATAATGTTCTCTATCTCCTGTTTGGTCATGAATTCTTCTGTTCTCCATAGATCTGATAGGTAAACTATTCCTTGTTCTCCCAGTTTACTTATGGTATCAGCCTTTATATCTAAGTCCTGAACCCATTTTGACTTTATTTTGGTATATGGTGTGAGATTTGGGTCTATGCCTAGTTTCTGCCATACTCTTTTCCAGTTTTCCCAGCAGTTTTTTTTCAAAGAGTGGGTTCTTATCTCAGAAGCTGGGGTCTTTGGGTTTATCAAATAATAGATTACTATAGTCATTGACTACTGTGTCTTGCATATTTAACCTATTCCACTGATCCACCTCCCTATTTCTTAGCCAGTACCAAGCAGTTTTGATGATTGCTGCTTTATAATACAATTTAAGATCTGGAATAATGTTGTGCAATCTTAAAGAATAAACTTGACTTCAGAGAAGAGGTATGAGAAGAAACCTCTCCCTGCTCTTTTGCAGAGGTGGGAGAGTCCATGGTTGTGGACTGCATATGACTGCATATGACATTAGACTTTTAAATGATATTAATTGGTGTTGCTGACTGCCCCTCCCTTTTTCTTTTAAAAAAAGTCTTTATCATAAGTGATGAGTTTATACTAAGGGAGGGAGGAGAAGGTATATAAGGGGAAATCTAGGTGATGTAAAAACAAAATATATAAATTAAACATTTTTAAAATGACAGAATTCCATGACTCTTGAATTCATACTTTTTCAGAACAGAGTTAGTTTAAATGAGGCAGCTAGGTGGAACAGGGGGATAGAGTGCTGGACCTGGAGTCAGGAAGACCTGAGTTCAAATTTGACCTCAGATATTTACTACTTGTGTGATCCTGAGCAAGTTACTTCACCTCATTTGCCTCAATTTCCTTATCTATAAAATGATCTGGAGAAGGAAATGGCAAACCACTCCAGTATCTTTGCCAAGAAAATCCTAAATGTGGTTACCAAGAGTTGCACATGACTGAAATGACTACACAACAATAGTTTAAATGATAATGGGCAAATCACTTATTAATGTCTCATTATTTTCCACTTTTAAGAAAAGGCTATTAAGTTGTACTTAGATAAAATTTAGAACTAAATGTTAGTAATAATCATCTAAGATTTCAATCTAAGTATTTTCATTCATCTTCAGGATGACATAATTTGGTAAGATTTGACACCCCTTATAGGATTTATAGGCCTTGACATTTTAATGCATACATTATATGTTAATAAAAATAATTGTTAAGTACCAGTGCTCTCAACTTGATAATGGCATTTGAATACTTTGACTAACCGGAAAGGAGTAACTCTTGGGGGGAGGGGAGGGGAGGGCGGGTCATTTAAGAATCAAATTATGACCTTCCTCTCATTGGATTTGGCTTAAGGAGAGAATAACATACACACTCAATTGGGTATGGAAATCTATCTTACCTTACAGGAAAATAGGGGTGAAGAGGATAAGGGGGAGGGATGATAGAACGGAGGGCAGATTTGGGGAGGGGATAATGAGAAGCAAACACTAGAGAAGGGACAGGGTCAAAGGAGAGAATAGAATAAACAGGGGGTGGGATAGGATGGAGGGAAATATAGTTCCTTAGTCTTTCACAACATGACTATTATGGAAGTGTTTTGTATGACTATACATGCATAACTTATATTGAATTGCTTGCCTTCTCAATGAGGGTGGGTGGAGAGGAAGGGAGAGAATTTGGAACACAAGGTTTTAAAAAACGAATGTTAAAAATTAATGAGAAATAAGATATACAGGCAAAAGGGTATAGAAATCTATGCTGCTCTACAGGAAAATAGAAAGGGAAGGGGATAAGAGAACGGGGGGTGTGATAGAAGGGAGGGCATATTGGGGCAAGGGGTATTTAGAATGCACACAGTCTTGGGGTAGGGAAGGGGAGAGACAGGGAGAAAATTTGGAACTCAAAAATCTTGTGGAAGTTAATGTTGGAAACTAAAAATAAATTAATTAATAAAAAAGAATCAAATTATATATAAAATTTTATAGCTCAAGAACTTTTTTTCAAGTTTTCCTGGATGCAAGAAAAAAAAACAAATCAAGAACTTTAATAATGCCAGTTCATCTGTATTAGATGTAGAATACACAGAAACTCTCTTCAAATCTTAAGAAATGAAAGATAATATTAGCCTGTGTAACATATTTGCATGAGTTTTCTAAAAGAACTATTTCCTAAGGACTGGAGTTTTCACTAAGTTGTTTAGTATATTAAAACACTGAGAATTTTTACTCTGACACTAGATATTATTACCTAGTATTATCCCCTTAATAAACTTTGTTCTGTGAGGTTTGGATTCAAAGGGCCACACTTGAGGACCTAGAGGGACACATGTCACCTCAAGGCCACAGGTTCCCCACCCCTGAAATATTTTTTACATTTGTAGAGGAAAACAGCATTCCTTACCTAACTTTAGGGTGGCTTAACGGATCTCCTCTGAGGTTAATCATTTTCAATAGGGCAACAGGAAGCATCTGTGTATCACACCACAACCTTGCTGGCAAAATAGGATGGTCAATTCTTTCCCATTTGAAACAGAAACTTCTGTTGAATTGCAAAATCATTTAATTGCTCAAGGTTTTAAAAGTTTAAACAATCAATTTATGCATTTTTAAAAAACCAAGTTGTCAAGTCAAGAAGCATCTATTGAATACCTACCATGGGTCAGGGATTGTGCTAAGAACTGAGGATCCAAAGAAAAGTTAAAAAATAAAGTAAGATAAATTGAAAAAGCCAGTCCCTGCCCTCAAGGAGCTTACATTCTAATGAGGGAGATGATATCCAAACAATTATGTACAAATGATATACAAAGGATAAATGCAGGATAATTTCAGAGAGTAGGCACTAATATTAAGGAGGATAAGGAAAGGTATCTTGCGGAAGGAGGGATTTTAGTTGACATTTGAAGGGAGCCAGGAGACAGCAGTGAAGAGGGAGACAATTCCTGGGATGGGGGATAGTACATTTTGGAGATGGAGTGTCTTATACAGGAAACAGTATGGAGGAAAGTTATCACTGGCTCCTACAGTACAATTAGTCAGATTAGTCATTGGGAATAATCTGAGAAGACTGAAATGACTTGTGTATATCATTTTGTTTAGTTCTTTCCATGTAGTAATCATTCTTTTTTTTCCTATGTTTTGATCAAAAGTGGTGTGGCCATGGCAGCCTTTGGGTACTTGTGTTCTGTCATTCATAAAGTCGGCAAAGTTCAGGGAATAATGCTTGCTGAGTAACACCTACCAAATTACTGGAATAACAAATACTCTGGTTCATCACGTCCAACATAGTGGGAAAAGGGAAGATTTGAAGGCATCATAATCAAACATGATTGAGAGCTCCCGTGACAATACTACACGAAAAAACACTTTTCTACTGTACAATAGACACTATGCATGCCTTCTTACTCCAGGTTTTATATTCAAAGACCTGTTAAGACTGCTCCTTCCTCTTCCTTTTTTGGATCTATAGGTTTCTAATATTAAACTGCATTCTGACCATTAAAAATATATTAACATACACACATTTTAGTTATCTTTAGCAACATAACTCACAACAGAAATATACAAAATAAAGAGTGCAATATTTAAATGTGACTCTTGAATGTCTTAATTGGAATATTATACTTAAGGGTTATTGCAATAATCAGAATTTTGTAGTTATGCTTCTAATCAGTCTGGTCTTCCTTAGAGGATCATAAACAGAAAATTTATGTTCATTTTCTTAGAGCAAATTTCATTTAAATCTAATTAAAAGCCATATCTTAATTAAGCAACAGCAGTCACAAAGAGATTGCACTTATTAAAAAAAATCTTCAGTAGGGTACAAAACCTCAATATATTTTCACATAAAATATGCTGTCTGTATTCACTACAGACATATGCTATATAGTTTCAACGGGGTCCTCAATGCTGTACAACAATTCTTTCATTCACCTCTTATTGACTGCATTACATTCCCAGCAGTTCATAGGTTCTAGGGATTTAAGAGGTAGAAGGGAATTTAGAAATGATCTGTAAAATGAAGTGGTTCAATTTCATAATCTAACATCCTTTTGAGCTCTGAATATGAAAGATTTTGAGTTTGGGTTTAGTCTTATCCCCTCAGTTTATAGAAGAAAGAACAAGCCCAGAAGGTTAAGAGACCTTCCCAAGATTGCATAGGTAAGTGATTAGCAAAGCAAACATTCAAACTTGAGTCTTCTACTCTACATCTAGTCCTATTTCTGCTATATTATGCTATACATCTTCTCTTCTTTGGAACTCTCCCCACTCACCATCAGCAGACGACTTTTCCTGCTCCACTGAGAACAAAGCCATCCCATGTCAAACCCTTCAACTTCCCACCTCCAAATCTCTCAAAATCCTCATGCATTTTCTTCCCTTCAGTTTCAGAGAATAAGGTGCCCTTCTTAATGGGGTAAATTTTGTCACCTATTTCCTCTAGTATCGTCTAATACTGCTCCATCAAACATCCCTTCTTTGTTTCTCTATATGCTATTATTCCTCTGGGTAGAAACATATTTAGATTTCCCCAGTCCTAAAAGCATCCCTTAATCTCACTACCATCCTCTCTTTCTTGCACTTGCTTACCACATTTCTAGGAAGAGAAGACAATCCTCACTTCATTTCCCTACCAGTTAATCATTCCACAACTACCTGCAATCTAATCCCCATCATTCTGATCAAATAGCTCTCTCTAATGTCACTAATGACTACATTATCACCATATCTAGAGGTCATCTTTCTTGACCTCTCTGTAGTATTTAATAGTATTGATCACCTTCTCCTTGACACCCTCTCTTTCTTTGGGTTCTTTACAATCTCAAGGTTCTCTAATGCTGGTCCTATCCTATTTCATACACAGATTCATCTTCCTCTTGATTCTTTTGCAAAGATGTTATTTAGGTTTGGTCAATTATTACTTCTGTATCTCCACCCTCAACCAATCTACAAAACTGTAGTAGTGTGTTTCTAATTGCTTTCTGGAAATCTGCACCTGAATGTTCCTCTAGCATCTCAAACTCAACATCTAAAACTGAACTCACTTTCCCCTACTTTCTTTTGGTCATTTTCTTTCATTATCCCTATAGCTATTGAAGTGCTTAACTTGAGTTATCTTTGGTTCTTTCCTCTTCCTCTGCTCCCACATCCAATTAGTTGTCAAGTCCTGACAATTCTAACTCCATGCCTCTCATGTTCAGTTTCTTTTCTCCAACCACACTGCTGCCATGTTGTAATTGCAACTCTAATCATTACTTACCCGGACTACTATAAGAGCATCTTAAGTGTTCTCCTTGCTTTCAGTTTCTTTCACTTTTCAATGCATTTTCCACAATGCTTACAAAATAATTTTCCTAAGGCCAAACTCTGATCATGTCACTCTCCTGCACAAAGAACCATTCAGTGGGTGACTACTACCTTATTAGCAAGGCATTTAAGGCCCTCCACAAAGCAGACTCTAACTAACTTTTCCAGATATAATTCAAATTATTTCAAATTACTTCTCTTCACCCATTCCAGTTGAACCAGATTGATGAGGATGGGAGCTAGACTCCAAAAAGGAAAAACCCTGGATTTTCCCACATGGCCAAATCTCTGGCATTTGCCTGAGGCTATAATCCCATCAACTGGCCTTTCACTGTGTTTACACCTAATCTCCCAATTCTGTTACCTTTAACCTAGCCTAGCTCTCTATTGTATTACCCCCCCATGGCCTCCAGCCACTTCCTACCCTTAATCCTACCTAAACTGCATTCTTTTAGCCTGTGGGCCACCTCATAGACTACTTGGCTACTCCTAGATCCCTCCCATAGTGTTTCTGTTATATAAGGTCTATCTTGTCTCCATTAAGGGGCTCTGATTCTTATAATCTAGTCACTGCTCAGATTTTTACAATCTAGCCAATACTTCACAGATGCTCAGATTCCTTAAGAGTCTGGCTAATATTGCGGATCTTTAATAAAACTTGTCTTTGGCTGAAAGAAGTCTTGGGTTGAATTCTTTTGCACAGGATCCACGTGTTGTGATCTCAGAGTCCCAGCATCCCTAAACCTCTAGACCTTATCAAGATTAGCAACTGTTCCCCAAACTTGATGTTCTATCTCCTTTCTCCAGGGAATTTGTTGACCCTCCCCCCCTCTTCCTGGAACATATTTCTTCCTCATTTTTCCTTTCAAGGCTCAGTTTAAGTGCTACCTCTTCTGCATATCCTTCCCTGATGCTCCAAGCTAAGAGGAATTCCTCCTCAACTATAATCAGAGCACACGTATTTAATGCTTGGAAGTGCACAAAGTGTGTTACAATACAAACATTGTATTATTTGTTCCTCCCAACAACGCTTTGCGGTAGATGTCATTATGTCACAGGTAAGGAAACTGAGACTCAGAGATATTAAGTAACTTTTCCCAAGATCACATATCTAAAAAAGTCTAAGAAAAGATTCAACATGAAGTCTCTCTTATTCCAAGTCCAGTGCTCTATCCAGTATGCCATATTTCCTCTTTTATTAATATTCCTTGAGTATTTTACCTCTATCTCTCATTTGCTTCCATAATTCCCCACCTTCTACACATTTATCTATGTACATTTTGTGTCTGCCCCAGAAGAAAGATAAATTCCTTAAGGACAAGCACTGTGTCACTTTTATCTTTGCATTCTCAGTGTTTAACAGAGTGTCTTGCACATTGTAAGCCCTTAATGTTTGTTGTATTCAAATTCTCCGAGTTCCTAGTTATCATTATTTCAACAAAGAGAGGCAGCAGAGCATAGCAGGTAAAGAGCCACCAGCTTCCAAGTCAGAAAAATGTGTATTCAAGTTCTGCCAATGACACACACTGACTGGAGGACCCTAACCAAGTCACTTAGCTTCTCTGGGCTATAGGCGATTCTCCAAGACTATATGTTGCAGAGAAGATGATGACCTACATTGATAGATGATATATTTTTTTCATCTAGGAGTTCCCTATACAAATGAAATCATAGGTCTAGCCCCAATTAATCAATCAACCAATGTTAAGTGCCTACTATGAATCAAGCACTGTACTAATAGGTAAAAGAAAGAACATCCCTGCTGCTGAGGAGCTGTGTTATGGGCTTGAAAGGACCAGTCAGTATTGCAAAGGATAACCAGGCACACTTTTTGTTTTCCATGTGGTTGGGTTTCTTAGAATTCAAGAAGAATCAAAGAATTTCCAAGTTGGAAGGGATTTCAGAGACCATTTAGTCCAACCCATACATGAACAAGAATCCCTTCTAAAATATGCATGGGAAATAGTCATCCAGTCTTCTGCAAGAGTTCCAATAAGGGGGAGCCCATGACTTCCTGAAGCAGACTATTCTACTTTTGAAGTCTCTGATTGTTAGGGAGTCTTTCCTACTCAAGCGTAAACTTGCTTCATTGCAACTTCTACCCTTTGCTACTAATTTTTGTGCTCTAAGGCCCAAGCAGAACAAGTCTAAACAATCTTCTTGGCACATTCCCCTTGAGCCTTCTCTTCTACCAGGCTAAATGTCCTCAGGTTTTTCAACCAAGCCTTTTCTGCC